TAAATGTCAATACGAAATACTATAATGCAATAAATGAAAATTTGAAATGCCGCATAAATTTAATATCTGCATAAACTTTAAAATTTATGTAAAATGCAATAATATACAAAATAAAATTAAGCGTGATATTTAATAAAACTTATTTTTGAATTCAAATATGATAATAAAATTTAATTTAATATTATTTAAGTTTAATATTATTATAACAGAAATTTTATCTGCAATTTAAAATTTTTAATATCTTTATAATGCCTGGAAATTGAATATATCTTTATCTATATTATTGATATATCAGTAAGCTAAAAGTAAATTACTTTATACGAATTAAAGCAAACTACTTCTTGCTTCAATAAAAACCCCTATTAAACTTTTGTTTAACGAGTATTAGATTCACGGTACGAATTGATAAAAAACTTTTTTTTTACAAGCGAAAGGCTAATGATTAAATAGTAAAAACGTAAATAAGACTCACGTACGATATGTTTAATTTCAATTTTGTTTTGTAATTGAAATATTTTGTTGTATTTTCAAATTCACTCGTTTACAAGATTTTATGACTTTCGTTTACAAGATTTTATACAAAAACATAATGTAAAGATTGTTTTTAGAATAATTTTCGATATTAAATCCGAATCTACAGTCATCAAAACGTTTCCATCAGGTTCGATTTCTGAGATATAAGAAAAGACATATTTTCAAATATTATAGTAAAGTTTTATTAAAATTAAAAAACAAATCTGAAATATTAAAGTTTAATTTTTATTCTTTATTTGAAGCGGTTTCACATATTAAGATTGTCCTACAAAATGCATAATATAGCACGTACACCATAGCATAGTATAACTTTATTTGGACTAATGAGCATATGGCGAGTTTATTCTGGATGTTCATTATTCCAGATGGTTTTATTCTATATTATGCTATATTATATTATATTTATACATTTTGTGTAGAATAGCTACTCTTAGTCACTTAATTATGTTTTGATTTGTCTCAATACCTTTAATGTTTCTCAATTATTTAAAATTTATTTAAAATCCTGATAGAAACGTCCACCTTATTCATCACTAATTGCACTCACATTATTCGAAAAGAAATGCTATATCTTAAAAATCTATATGCTAAATTTTAAAATTGATTGAGTGCTATATGTTAAAAAATCTATGTAATGGAACTTTTTTAAGTCAGATTCAAACTCAGTGTTCCAAAATAGTGCTTTAAAAAACTTTCCCTTTCTTACACTAAAAATTATTACCAAAATTTGTAAACTAATATTATTGTCAATGTAGAAAAAAATATATAACATTAAGATAAACCGAAAAGAATAATATATTTAATAAGCAATATTGTGTTGAATATTTCTTAATAAAAATTTCTTATTTATACATATATAAAAAGTCCGCGTAATCGATAAAAAAATAACAATTATTAAATCATAATTATAGTTTAAAATAATTAATGATTAAATGACATAATCACGTTATTAATTTTTTGGATTCATTTTATCATGATTTAATTAATCATAATTCAATCATAATATTAAAAATCTTACCAGTATCTCTTTCCCCGTTCAATAGTTCGAACTTAGATTAATCATTCTCGCTAAACTCTCTTCCATTCTTTGAACAAATGTGGACAAATTTTTAAACTTACGTTAATGTCGTATCAAACGTATAGAATGA